CGTTTTCTTTTTGTTAGCATCACAATGTAATTAGTAAGTTGTCTTTGCAACAGAGGAGTGCACGCAAAGTAAATGCTGCAGCTTTTCTGGAGGGAGATGCGACCGGGATTGCAACGATGGAGAAGTTGCAGAAGAAGATCTTTGTGTGGGAGACTGTGTTTGCTGCTTCCAAGGTAATTTCATGTTTCCCTCTTTGCAATATTCTTGGCTTATGATATGGCATATTCTTAGCTTGCTGTTTGCCATATTCCTAGTTTATAATTTCCGTTTTTGTAGGTGTCAAGGCTGCTGTTTGTTTTCTGATTTGGTATATTCTTAGTAAAGAATTTGGTACACCGTTGAATAATAATTCTTTGCCTATGCTTTCCCATATTATCTAGTTTTGAATTGCCATATTCTTAGTTTTTTTCTATTACCCTTTCCCGTCTTGGTATTGAAAGCTACGCCATCTCATGTTTTTGTTTTTGTTTTACTTTTATATACTCATTTACTTATTTTACTGAACCCACTGAATGCCCTATGCCCCCTCTCCCCCCAGACACGTGCCCGGACAGCCCCAAGTGCCAGGCGCTGGACGGGCGTTGCGTGGAGAGCTGCGAGGCTGACGAGCTGGCCGTCCCGTGGCTCTGCGGAGGCGAAAACTGCACCTGCTGCGTCCAGAGTAAGCCTGTGTCTTTCTATCGCCATTGAGTGAATGGTTAAAGATCTAGACTTTTATTTTGATTTAAGGCTGGTACTAACGGCTGAAACAAGCAGCTGCCATTTTTATCAGCATCTTTTTCAAGTCTGTAAAATCAGAATTAAAGGTAACGTAGTATAAAGCTATCCTACAGCCGGTTCCCATTGCCAATTATCGCATTCAACCCCAGTCCCTGTGATCGATCCCTTCCCCGACAGACAACTGCAACCAGACCAAGTGCTGCGAAGCCTTCGGCGGAAGCTGCGGCAAGGTGTGTTACGAGGGCGAGGCGCCCATCGAGGGCGTGTGCGAAGGAACGTGCCAGTGCTGCGTCAAGGGTACGGGGGATGTGTCTGTGAGCGTGTGTGTGTGTGTGTGTGTCTGTTTCTATATATTCATCCCTTGCCTGTTAGTTGACGTATCAAATTTCACCCATACCTCTTCCTGCTCTCCACCAGCCCCGTGTGAGCAGAGCAACTGAAGCACCGTGCTGGGCGGCAGCTGCAACGCCACGTGCGGCCGAGGCGAGAGAGCCGTCGAGGGCGTTTGCAACGGAGAGCACTGCCTCTGCTGCGTGCCAGGTGAGTGCCTGCGACTTGCTTGGACTGAGTGAGTCCAAGCATGCATGTATGTATATATGCATGTATGTATGTATGTATGTATGTATGTATGTATGTATGTATGTATGTATGTATGTATGTATGCATGTATGTATATATCTATGTACTGTTTGTGTATGTATTTATAGTTTGCGTACCTTTGTATAATTGGACAAAACTCTTCGGGAATTGATCAACTGTTTGGACTTTCAAATAAACAAGATGCAGCACAGATATGTAATGCTGTGCAAGAAATGTGCAGACTAAAGAGCCTAATCAAACATAAAGTTGACCAATCAGCCAATCATAGGGTATGATGGTGGACAAGAAAATAATTACGTTTTAGTTTAGTTTAGTCCTTTATTTACCACCCTGGCTAACTGCGCAGGCGTGGGCAAGCTGTAGTACATTTAATGCATGGCCATAACATTACATAATGGTATTACATTTGGATATTATCCTATAACATTGTTATGATAATAAGTACTTTGTGAATTCAAGAAAGAGAAACAGTTGCACAGTCCTTTAGGTACTCATCTACCACACCGGCATATAGCTTGGGCGTGGAAAAGTATTAAAACATTTGATAAGCAGTCATGTGATAATGTGATACTACATTCCAAATTTAGGATACAACATAATTATATCTTCTAAGACATCAGATGATATGAAGTAGTTACATAGTTCTCCGTACCTCATGCTAGGTGGTCTGAAAGGCTGTAGCACATGGCACTCTGAGAAATAATGTACAAGTGTTCGCTTATATTCTTCATTACACAGTTTACACTTAGTTTCTTCGACAATACAAGCTGTACTGACCTGCCAATACATTCTATATCCAAGCCTGATTCTTGCAGTCACAACATCACACTGTCTTGTTCTTGTTTTATATAAACCATAGATGAATGAATCTTGCCTAAACCGGTCATAGTGCTTTATGCTACAGCTTTCGGGGCGTTGAGAATTAATTAATTCAGTCAAGTCCTCTTTAATGGTGTATAAAATCCTAGAAAGAGGTACCCCAAGATCTATATCTACACTTTGTTTGTCACATGCTGACTTTGCTAGGCGATCAGCATGATCATGCCTAGGGATTCCAACATGCGATGGGATCCACACAAAACGTATATTATGGCCTCATTCTTTTGCACGATACACGTTTATCCTGATGTCATTTGCAATATTTCCCGCACCTTTGTCTAAAGTGTTCAGAGCCTGGAGAGCACTCTGTGAATCACAGAAAATGACCCCTGAGCCTTGATTCAATAGAAATTCGGTGGCCATGAGTATTCCTGCCAACTCAGTTTGTGAAGTGCTAGCCCAGTCATGAACCCTCCTACAATCCTGGTGCTGCAAAATGCTGTTTTTATATACAACAAAAGCGCATCCTGCTCTGCTCCCAGATAGTAAGGATCCGTCAGTGTAGCATTCATAAGCATTGGGCAGAGTTTCTAGATGCTCACTTATAATTGCAAGTGCATACTGCTTAAGTATAGCAGGGGGGACACTGTCTTTTTGGGGAGCAGTCGTATAATATACACTTAGGTCAGACATTTTCCACGGTGGTACAGAACGTCCATATAGGGTCTTAGTTATGGGTATGTTCAGCTGAATTAAGTGTTTACATGTTACTTGTACCCATGGATTTGAAAATGAATCGGTGTTGTCATTCAAAGTTAGCTCTTCTGTTCTGTGTTTTAGTTGTCTTTGTAACTCTGTACAGTGGAGGGGTTCTCTAATTGATTTGACACTAAATGTGGTATTTATGTATAATATTCTTTCATAAAGAGAAGGCAAATTAAGTTCTGTTCTCATATTCACAATCCTTGTTGTCCTAGGGGCACCAAGAATGATCCTCATGGCTTCATTTTGTGCACTTTCTAAACTAGTCAACTCTGATTCCTTGAACAATACTAGGTGCAATGCATGGTAATCTATGACCGACCTTATATATGACAAGTAACAGAGTCTCGCAATATTGACATTAATGCCATGGTCTTTGCCGACAAGGGTCCTAAGCGGCTTCAGCCGCTCCCATAGCCTTTTCTTCAGGTTTCTGATGAATTCTGAATCATTAACAATCACCCCGAGGTATCTGTATTGGTGGCAGAGATCTAGCTCAACGCCACCAATATGAAACCTTGTGTAGCAGCATGACCCCGCAACCTGAAGCTCAGCATACTTTCCCAGGTTGGGTCATGCTAGGTCCGCCGCCGCTGGCTGCGCTCATTGGCCAGCGGGCTCCCCTCGTTCCCTGCGTGCTTACACAGCGCTAGTGTACTTAAGCCGCGGAGCTGTCAGCGAGATCAGCAAACCCCCGATCCTCCAAGGACTGCCAAGTCCTTAACCGACTGGGGAGCCAGCCGGCTCCCCCGTAGAACTCCAACTACAGTCTCCAATACCCAGCCATACCCGTGGGCACTCACACCCACACAGTCACTCCATAAAGAGATAAGACACCAGACTTAACATAGTAGATGGGCAACCATACCATTTACTATACTGGTGACCTCCGGAGTGACCCGAAATATGGAGTGACACGTTCCGGTTTATCGCTCGTTCGCTTAGCTCACTCTCTGGAGGGGGAGTGCCTGTAGCAGCATGACCCCGCAACCTGAAGCTCAGCATACTTTCCCAGGTTGGGTCATGCTAGGTCCGCCGCCGCTGGCTGCGCTCATTGGCCAGCGGGCTCCCCTCGTTCCCTGCGTGCTTACACAGCGCTAGTGTACTTAAGCCGCGGAGCTGTCAGCGAGATCAGCAAACCCCCGATCCTCCAGACACACCGACTACAGCAACGGCACTCAAGGACTGCCAAGTCCTTAACCGACTGGGGAGCCAGCCGGCTCCCCCGTAGAACTCCAACTACAGTCTCCAATACCCAGCCATACCCGTGGGCACTCACACCCACACAGTCACTCCATAAAGAGATAAGACACCAGACTTAACATAGTAGATGGGCAACCATACCATTTACTATACTTGGCAGAGGGATTGTCTTTGAATTAAGTGCCTTGGTTTTTTCAGTTGAGATTATTAAGCCACACTCAGTAGCCCTTGCAGAAAGTATATCAAGAATCTCTTGCATTCTCTCCTCAGATGAGGATTTAATGCAGATGTCATCGGCATAGCAAATAATGGAGTCAATGCCTGCAAGTAGTATATCGCCCAGTAGTCTATGCATTAGGATATTAAATAGCATGGGACTAAGTATGCCTCCCTGAGGTGTGCCGAGTTCAAATACTTTTGTATGAGTGCTCTTAAGGCCCCTGAAGAGAACCTGAGCCGATCGATTTGATAAATACATTTGAATCCATGTTAACAGTTTTCCCTGAATACCAAAGCTAGCTAGTTGCTCAAGGATAATTTCCTTGTTTGCAATATCAAAGGCAGATTTAAGATCAAGGAATACGGTTTGCATGCCAGGGTTTGAGTTTGTTAAATACTCTGCAAAGCAGTGCTGACTACTACGCCCTGGGAGAAATCCAAACAGTCTGGGGGATAACTTAGCATTTATGCGATACATGAGCCTGTTCAAAATTATTCTCTCAAGTACTTTGCACAGACAGGAGGTCAGGGAAATGGGTCTCTATTTGTCAGGATTGGGTTTGGGTATAGGAATGATTAAGCTTTTAGTCCAGGAGCTTGGGAGGATTCCTTGTGATAGGCTGAGTCTATACAGGTGTAAGAGTGGGTTGCCTGGCACCTGAGCAATGTGGCGAAGGACGCTGTAAGTAATGCCGTCCTCGCCTGGGGCGGTTGCCTTACCTTTCAGAAGGGCATTGCTCAGTTCCCACTCGGTTATTTCGACAAAGTCGGAGGGGTCAATGGCAGCACAGGCTATTGCTATATTAAAATTTCTATCTATTTTCGACTTGTTGAGCTGATTTTTTATCCCTTGTGGAAGTGAGTGTAACTGAGAATTTCCAGCCCACTGCTCTAACAGCATGTTAGCCTGTTCTTGTGGACTGTGGAACTGCGGTGTTGTGGGAGCTTTACCTGTTAGCCTATTAATTTTTCTCCATACGTCAGCTACAGAAGTTTGACTATTGATACTTTGCAAGAATTTTTCCCAGTGTTTACTACGAATCTGAATTTTTAATTCTCTGAATTCCTTGTTGGCTTTCAGAAACTGCAGAAGATTGTCTGTCGTCTTATCATCTATATAACAATTAGCAAGCTCCTGAACCCTTTGATGTTCCTTGGCCAGTATTGGGTCATTGATCCACCTCGGTACCTGGGAGGCCTGGGGCCTCTTTTTCTTTGAGAGTTTTCGTGAACAGACCCATATGTTATAGTAGTCAGTGACAACTTTGATTACATCCTGAGAAAAATTTTCAACTGTTGTTACTTCATAGGTGTTATACCAGTCATAGACCCGTGCCTTGAAGTGATGCTCCAGGTCCGGTGGGATGATTATTCTGAGCCTGGGTGATTTAGGGGCTGAGTCGCTGTCTACAGTATAGTCTGTTCGGATTGCAAAGTGGTCACTAACTAACTCTCGCACCAGTGAAGTACAGATATTACCATGAACTAAATTCTTGCCAAATACATAGTCTAACCTGCCACCTCCCAAATGAGTCTGTTTCTGTGTCATATACTGTTAGTGATCTACTACTGATAAAATGTTTGAATTCTTCCCCATTACTATTACGTTGGTTGTCTCCAAAGTGTGGATGCCTTGCATTGAGGTCGCCCATACATAACGTGCTTTGGTTGCGAAAATTGGGGAGAGAACTAGCCAGAAATTTGGAGTATCTGGCATATACATTATACAGTGAAAAATACCCAGAGGCAGTCTGAATTTTTAAGTGATGAAATTGAACATCAGTGTTCTCGGATTTTTTAACTAATTTATGTGGCAGTGTTACCTTCACATATGTCAACAATCCAGTCATGG